CAATCACTTTTCCAATCTACTTGCATTGTGCTGTGGATGAACTTTGCACAAGTTTCCCCAAATAACTCTGAAATGACAAGTGACATTGTCAGTCAAATCAGAGGCTGCGACAAGCAAGCTTGTTTTATGTCTTTGCTTTGATTTCTGTTTTCATATTGATGGGAAGAAATGTTGATTTATGTATGCTCAGTGATGGGGGGAAAAAACTCTCTTTACTGATTTGAGTCTGTCTATCCGCTCAGTCAAATGAAGCCGTTTTTTATAACATAATGTGTTCATATGAGCCTGTATGGATGACAATAAAGGGTTTTTCATTCATTAATATGGGTTACATCGCTTACAATTTTATCTAAAATCATGTCAAAAATAAATTATCTGTCAATTATTTTAAGCACTGATCTACTTGCGTTGTTTTATGTAACTAGCTTTGGATAAAAGCGTCTGCTAAATAATTAAATGTAAATGTAACAAGTTATGTTTATATATAGTCTATTATATATATAGATATTCAAATAAAGGTCATGTGTTGTGTAATCAGCAATGTGAGAAAATGAGTCAAGCTGTGTGCATCAAACAATAATAGTGCATTTATTCTTTCACATTCATCAAGAATTCAAATAGGATTTATGAATGGCAGTGAAGCAACGTAACTGACGCTGCAGGGCACGTAATGACAGCATGGCGAATGTAGTTCATTCATTACATTCATACACACACTCATATTATATAGAACATACTTTTTTTAGCGGTTATGAAGTACTTATACAAAATAAGAACCTACTTATGCGATTTCGGACGCAGCCCTGGAGTCCCGATTTATTTTTGTTCACCTACTTTTAATCAGCAATGGAGCCCATTGGTCTATTTGGTGACAGATATGAGTTTATCTATTACTAGCAACGATTCCAGCAACTAATAGCCTAATAAAAGCAAAAAAAAAAAAAAAAAAATTAACGACAGAAATATCGAAACTATGCATTAATAAAAAAAAGATACTTAATAATAAATGTACAGTTGGCTATTATAATAAATATTTTGTTATTAAGCCAACAAACTCTGTGGCGTCACAAGTTGTGGTACTGCTACAAAACCTACGCCTATAACAAAACATATATTTTTTAAATAGTTACATTTATCGTGTTTGTTAAAAAAAAATACTGCTTTATTTACACTAAGTTTTGTTATTATATATATTATATATTTGTTAGTATATATTATTTAATTCAGTTAACATTCAGTTTATTCCAAGTAACGAAAATGTTGTTCTGCTTTTGGTTTTAGTTAGATAATAACCCTGCAGCATCTATGCAACGACTCCAAACCCTCTATGGATGTTTACATAAAATCTAGTTTCTGAGCAGACATCTTTGTTCAAAGTGTTGAATAAATGATTCTGTCTCTGCCTTCTTCTGAAAGGAAAATCCTGCTGTTCAGTTACAAAAGAAAAAAAGAATCACGACACTGGAGTAAACCAGGAAATGGAGGTGGGAAGATCTGACAGCGGAGACTTATTTCATGCTTTTTTTTTTTCTCCCCCTTTTAACTTCACAACAAATGTTTCACTAATGTCTCCCTAAAGCCCTCATTGGCTTTCATTGATAAAAAATGGTCAGTGGAAAAATTCAAAGACACCCACTGTCTTCAGGAATACGAGTCTAAATGAGACGTAATTCCAATTTAGTTTGAAGTTCAGTTGTGGACTCACAGTCTGAACCTCAAACACACACTAACTGCATAACTTTGTTTGTTCTTGAATGCTGAATATTGGATTTCATTATTCTAAAACACTAAAAAAGACAGAAATAAAAACATCCTACCTTTCAGGGGAAGTATGTAGGAGTTGTGATGTAGAAAATGGCAGAGGAAGCATGTATCAGTCATTTACACAACAAAAGAAAAACAGTAGGAAACCTGGAACCATGCACTGTGATCCTTAAAAACTCAAAATCTACTGAAAAAAATGGATTTTTAATGTGAAAACTGTTTCCTGTGCGCAGATTGTCTCTACGTAATTTTAATGGGAATAACTTTGGATGTAAATATAGCCCAGGATATAAGTTCTGCCAGGATTAAACTAATGTTTGTTACATCTACACTGTAAAAAGTATATGATAAATAAGTTATGACAACATATGTTTTTACATTGCTTTAACTCACCAAAAAAAGTTAAGCAATTTTCAACTGTTTTCCATTTTTAAAGTCAGTTCAATGTAATTTAAGTTGAAATGACTTAAACATCCAAGTTGATTGTACTTAAAAATTTAAGGCAGAAACTTTTTTTTACAGTGGCCATACTATCATTTAACAAGCACTGAATTATATAAAATTACAATTAAAATTAATGCATTTTGTCAAAGTTTTATATCTATGCTTCATTTAGCTATAGGATTATATTCCATAATGCAAGGTTTACCACTATTTGAAGGTTCAATTAAAAAAAATTATTCTCGAGGGAAATGTACACCTAAATTTTAGAGATTTTATTATGAGGGGGGAAACGAGAGTGACAGACAGTAGTAATAACACTACTACGGTTAGACCTGAGACTCAGCACAAACTGAAGCGCAATTTAATTGTGATTACTTGAGGCTTTCATCAAGACCTGCGAGAAAAATATTCCCCAATTTAGGACAGAATCATCAGACAGCTGAATAACAGATTTCACAGCTGAAGTGGATCCAAATGTGCCGAGAAATGCTCTATGATTTCAGTAATAATTGCATTTGTGTTTTGCAAGCGTAAATTTAAAACCAAGGCTTTTTGAACCTCTTGTGATGAATGATGAATATATTGGAATGAATAACACACTAAATATTGTTGTGGGTTTTTTTGACAGTGGGAACAACAGAGTAGCCAAAGGACAAATTGTCTAGCATTTACTGTTTTGAAAAGACAACAATGTGTTTGTGAGAGGAATATGAAGAGCTATAAAGAGAATCTGTAAAATCATATAAAATAATCTATATCTGAGTGGCATGTGCACAATGGACTTAAGTCAAACTTCCCATGAGCCCATGAGCTTTAAAGGTGGTAATTTGTAACAAGATCCCAAATCTTAACATCATGTGCAGCACGTTTTGCAACAACACAATCACAACTCATGTGTGAATGCTGCAAAGAGCTGTTTTCAGATATGGAGATTGGAGACCGTGTTTACATAGAATTAAACTGGAGTTTTTTTGTTGCTAAGCCTTCATGGTAAGAGAGTTGTGAAAATCGGTGATGAAAAACTAAATAACAATTCTTTCTTTCACAAAAAACAAGCTTAAAATTGAGTGTACTTCAAGAAAACAAGGTTTAAAAATGTACAGAAATGCTGCGTGAGATTTGAGTTATCTGTGAGCACATACACCTTCAATACAAATGCCCTGGTAATGCCATGCTAATGTGTTATAGGTTCTTTCGATGTGAATGCCTGAACAACACTTGACAGTTATAGTGTATAGCCTTAATGGGCTCTTGTCCTGCTAGATGTGAGAGGAATACCAACTTCACATAGTTTGTTAAAGGGATACTCCACTTTTTTTGGAAATAGGCTCATTTTACAACTCCCCCAGAGTTAAACTGTTGAGTTTGACCGTTTTTGAATCCATTCAGCCGATCTCCGGTTCTGGCGGTACCACTTTTAGCATAGCTTAGCATACATCATTGAAGTGGACAAGACCATTAGCAGTTCTCAAACAAAAATCACCAAAGAGTTTCGATATTTTTCCTATTTAAAACTTGACTCTTCTGTAGTTACATCGTGCACTAAGACCGACGGAAAATGTAAAGTTGCGATTTTCTAGGCTGAGGAACTATAGGAACTATACTCTCATTCCTGCGTAATAATCAAGAAACTTTACTGCCGTACCATGAGTGCAGCAGGCGTAATGATATGACGCAGCGCCTGAAAATAGTTCCGTTGTGTTGACGGAAGGTGGCCTATTTTCAAGCGCTGCATCATATCATTACGCCTGCTGCTCTCATGGTACGGCAGTGAAGTTTCTTGATTATTACGCAGGAATGAGAGTATAGTTCCTAGCCATATCAGCCTAGAAAATCGCAACTTTACATTTTCCGTCGGTCTTAGTGCACAATGTAACTACAGAAGAGTCAAGTTTTAAATAGGAAAAATGTTGAAACTCTTTGGTGATTTTTGTTTGAGAACTGCTAATGGTCTTGTCCACTTCAATGATGTATGCTAAGCTATGCTAAAAGTGGTACAGTCAGAACCGGAGATCGGCTGAATGGATTCAAAAACGGTAAAACTCAACAGTTTAACTCTGGGGGAGTTGTAAAATGAGCCTATTTCCAAAAAAAGTGGAGTATCCCTTTAAGGCAGCTGACACAAGGAAACCAGAAAACCCTCACCCCCACCAGTTAACATATTGAACCATGGTACTTGTGAGTTATGACTAGCCTCACACTTACTATAAGAGGACATCCTCACCCTCCCTTCATTCCCAGCGCAGCATGATGACACAGGCAACTCGTTATTATTAAATCAGAGGAAAGCAGCGCTAAAAATGCATTTCCATGAATTGTGTTATTGCTCTGTTGGCCTAGATATGAATGTGACATATGGCCTTGTCAATCAGACATCTCAGATCTGTTGGCAGACACACTGCTGCGAACTATTGAATTATTTTAGACAAAAGTGTTACAGGATTATTCAAATTGCCATGCACTTGGACAGAAGCAGAACATAGCAATTAATAAAACGCAACACTGCCCTCTAGAGGAGAGCCAGTAAATAATGCAATGGTTTTATTTTGACCCATCCAGACAGTAATAATATAATATATAACAATATAAATTCAGACTTCAATTAACTTGAAACTCAATGAACAATGTTATCAATTGACCATTTGGGAACAGTTAATCAGGTACTCGAAAGTCATTCTGCCTGCACGATCAAAAGTGTAAATGGCTTTACTTGAATGGGCCTTTTACACCTGAATAATCTCTCACCGGGGTATTATAAGCTGTACTGCTTTTTTGGTGTGGTTTCCTCAAAATACACATTGGGTACATCTACTTTTCAAATGCCTTCTTTGAACCGTGGAAGTGTGCATTTCACCTTCAAAGGAGAAGTAGTTCCTTCAAATCTCCTAAATCGGAACATCCTGTATTTATCAGGCATATTTATATACATTACCCTCTGAATATATGGCAAATGGCTCACCAATGTGATTCAACCAAAAACACACACTCTTTCATTTGCTCACGTAGCTCGCTATCTCTTTATCCAGGCTGAAGGCAAACCGGTGGTTGAGGAAGAGGAGCTGACCATGAGGAAGGAGTCTGTGCAACAATGCGTCCACTCGATCACTTTTCAGCAACACCTGAAAATAACAGCTAAGTCAGACAGAGGAAAAAAGGAGTAGTGTCAAATAATCAATAGCTTGGCGGTCTGCCTATTTTGAATGCGTTTCTTTGTTCACTGCCTGACAATAAGTCTGGCCTTAGTCATACAGTAAATACATAAAAATTATATAATTCTGAAGTAAACGTCTGAAGAAAATACCCCTGAGCTCATTGGGTTGCTTTTCTATGGATGTATTTATTACAGTGTAATCAACAGCCTAACATGTATCTCATACAGAATGAGATGCATATCCTTATTTCAATTGTGTCCACTTTCAGGCATATTGGTGGAAAGAAACTAGGCCAGCAGACATAAGAAAATATTACACTCTGTCTACTTCTTCATAAGATTATGGGAATTCAATAGAGGTTCAGTTCAGCTATAACAAAAGTCATTTTCAGAATCTTAAAACTGCATGAATCTATTTAATGACATGATGAAAACACCAAACATCTCAGGCACATTCACTCGACAGTCACTCAAACACACAACAAGAATAACGTTGTTTTTTTACACTGCCATTCAAAAGTTTTGAGTCTCTCAAATAAATGAATGCTTTTATACACGAAGGACCCAATAAGTTGATCAGAAGTGACAGTAAAGACATGTACAACTGTTACATTGTTGAGAAAAAAAAATCTATTTCAAATAAATGCTATTTTTATTTTCAGCTTTGTCATCACAGGAATGACATTTTAAAATATTTTAAAATGTAAGTTATTTTAAATTGTAATAATATTTTGATCAAATATATCAATGCAGCATTGTCGAGTATAAGAAAATTATTTCAAAAACGTTACAAAATCTTACAGACCGGTAGTGTATATCCTCCATTTATTGGATACATTTTGCATTACACCTGCACCCAAACATACAAGTAAACAGACAACACATACAAACATGTACATGCATGCACACAGACAAGATCCTACAATAACTATTGACTGAAAGAACTACTGGATGTCACATATGTAAGTGTATTAAAAAGTGGCATAAAATGATTATAATGTGAATATTTTTCCCATGAAGGAACTGATAGAGGAAAGGAATCAGTAAAGAGATGCGATTAGTGGCAAACAACAGAACAGCATTCATTTTTGGCTGTTATAGCACACCTCTCCTCAACAAGCCATGAGATCTATGGTATCACTCATTGTTTTGCTAACAATTTCATTAAGTTTAGGTTTAGCTTCATTAAGTCTTGAACCCCAAGTACTTCAGTAGTAATAGTCACGTTTATCTGAGCAAGCTAATACAATATTCATAAAAGCCTGTTCACACCAAGAACGATAACTATACACAACTATATTAGCAGACACACCAACGCACAATGTTCTGTTTATTATAAACATTATAATAAATTTTGTCGCCTGCCGCTTTAAATGCTCAAGCGCTTTAAATGCTCAAACGCTTTAAAGCAGGATGGATTCTGATTGGCTGTCAATGTTTTTATCTTTTATAATTTTTAAAAAGTACTAAAAAGGATTCCAACGATATCGCTCCTCTGTGCCGTTACTGTTATTGTTGTGGTGTGGCTATTCTTTTGAATTCAGAATGATTTTTAAAGCTATATCTTTATCATTATAGTTATCTTCCTTTAGCGAGAAAGGAACTTAACGCTAACTATAAAGATAACTCTAATGATAACTATATCAGCATCCACACCAGCGCATAGTAGTTCTGTTTATTTTTGTATGTCACTTTAAAAGCAGAATGAATGCTGATTGGCTGTCAGTGTTTTTATCGTTCATCAGCTGGGAAAATAACGTGATTTCAACAGTATCGTTCCTCTGTGCCGTCATCGTTATAGTTGTGGTGTGGACTTTGCTAAATTTTTTTATATATCTAAAACGATTTTTAGAACTATACCTTTATCGTCCTTAGTTTTAACAGGTCTTTAGTCCTAGAAAACCTCACCTCAGCACCAGGTCCCAGCAGACGAAGCTCCTCCAGGCAGTGACGTGCAATGTTGCGAAGCGCTCCCTCCGCGAGCAGAAGGTTCTCGTGTGGTCTGCAGACAAGAGTGAATGCTAGTGACTGCACCCCCAGCCACAGAACAACACTCCTGTCTGGAAACAGCTCGGCATTGCCCAGGGAAAACACCCCCCTGTCAGCTTCCCCCAGAGCTACAGCCTCCTCACCCAGCACAGCTTCAGTGCACAGACTGCCTGAGGCTTCCCTACTCAGAGCCACCGCACTCCTCACCTGTCTAAGAGAGAGGAAGGGCAGAAAAAGAGATTATTGTTCCTCACACAAACAACATGTACCATAGGTACTGACATAATACCATCGTTACTGGAGTTATTGATAATGCAGATACTTGGGTTGCATCCGAAATCACATACTTCTCTACTATATATAGTAGGCAAAAACAGTATTGTGACAAGAATAGTGTGTCCGAATTCACAGTGCTCATAAAAGAGCAGGCAAAAAGTACCCGGATGACGGACTACTTCCGGCGAGATTCTGATGTGTGCATAGGATGGACACTTTATGTGGCCATCCGATGAAGGATTGAAGGATTGACTTGGAAACCACATATCTCACACATACAAAAAAGATGTCCAAGAGTATTTTTGTATTAAATAAGGTAAAACATGTGTTAGATTATAAGGCATTGAGAAGCTTGTATTGTGCACTGGTGTTGCCCTACATCAGCTACTGTGTGGAGGTGTGGGGAAACACATACCAAAGCAATACAAGGTCACTCTTTCTATTACAAAAGAGAGTCATACGAATTATATTTGAAACAGAATATAGAGAGCATACAAATGCCTTATTTTTTGGCTCTAAATTGTTAAAATTTAAAGAATTGGTCGAATTACGAACACTTATTGTTATGTTTAAAGCAAAAGACAGAGTATTGCCCACAAACCTTTAACGCTTGTTTATCCTTATAGAAAATGAAGGAAGAAGAAAGGGACATTTTAGGTATCAAACTGCAAGGACAACAGCAAAACTAATGTGTACTTGGTGGGAGTGAAAGTTTGGAATTCTTTGCAAAATGAACTAAAGCAATGTAAAAATATATTTCAGTTTAAAAAAAGATTTAAAGAGAAAACAATGGATTTGTATGAACACTTATAGAAGTTGATGATGATGATTATGATGGTTGTGATCATGGTTTGCTTTTGTTTTGGATTCATATTTATAGAAATTGATGATGATGATGATGATGGTTCTGATCATGGTTTGCTTTTGCTTTGGAAATCTGTTTCAGGTTGATGGTTTGGTTTCTGGTTTGTTTCATTAGTTATCATCATGTATTGACGGGGACTTGATATGCTGAGTCTTTTGATATGTTGGGTTTATTTGTTTTGTTTTGTCCTTTTGTGGTGGGGGCAGGAAATATAAGATATTCTTCATCCTGCCTCCTTTTCATCATGGTATTATAGATTACATATATGTAATTTAGTAAGTCAATAGAAAATATCCATATAATAAACATAAACATTGGGATGTATCCCATGAGGCCAAGCTAGAGGATTTGTGAATATATCAGTGAAGCAAAGCAACTGACCCTGGTATCACATGATAATGAAAACATGGCGAATATAGTACATCCAGATTACATTCATAATATATAATGTACTTTCTTGACTGTCACAATGAAGCCTACTTACTCAAAACAAGTACCTGCTCAAGAGAGTAAGGATTTCGGACGCAGCCTTTGTATTCAAGTTTGCATGAAACTAAAGTTAGTTTTTTCTTCCCTATTGTGACGTTTATCCGAGTAAACGGATTCTCAAAGAAGAAAAAGGGCAGGACTTGATTTTGTCCATCTGGAATTGTTTCGATTGTGAGACCGTTGTGGTTTGCTATTGCTGTGATTTCCCGACAGGTTGTCCTGCCCTAGCGCCAGTAAACACGTCATCAGAGATGTCATTACAAAACGGAGGGAAAGTTATTTTGCTAAAAGATTGAGGGCCGGCACATGTATTTAAAATAAAAAATGTGATGAAATATTCCATACAAATAAGATTTGTCAATTTTGATTTGATGGTGACCTTTGTTATTAACGTTTTACATAAACATTTTGTAGGTTTGACTGATTTGATTTGACTTAAGTGGGTAACGCTAGGTACGAAATTGAATAAATAGGATATGGGCTAAGTTTTTGTGCTCATTGTTATTTAATTTAGCGTTAATTGTCGGGCGGGCAGTTGTGGAAATCTTCTCTGCGATTGGTAAATTGTTTTATCATCTCACCTTGCTACCACGTGGAGTTTCTCTTTCTGCATCAGTCGCCTCTGCTCCGGTGTGTAATCACGACCATCTCCGGTCTCTGGTCCGAATACACGTGCGTACAGTATCCGGATCTCGCCTGCGGACAGGGCGCTCACCGGGCACACCGTGTGGATTAAGAAACACAGCACCATATCTGATTTAACATTTCATAAAGACCATAAGAATACAGACACAATTACCAGACTTGCTGACACAGGAGAAAAAGGTGTCCGCTGTATGATAAACTTGTAATAAATTTGTGTCAAAGTGTCATTCTGCCATTGTGGACAAACTCTGCATTATTATTTCCGTATTTGGTCACATGACTGTGAATCAGCTGATCATTGCGCAGTTCCGCTTTCAACTCTAGATGGCGCTCTTGAGTGCTGTTGAACCTGTTGAACTGATGTGTCTAACTCTTACTACATTTTTTTGCAATGTTTGGGACATAAATATTGATTTGACTTGAGTGATTCTGATGTGCTTTATAGTTTATAGCCATACAAATTCAATAAACTTTTAAATAAATAAAAAACGCAAATGTAAATGTATCCTAAGATAAAGGCGTGAGTAGTGGACCAATATGTATATATATATATATATATATATATATATACATACATGCCCCTTTTAAGAACAATGTGGGCTTATCTTACCACGGGTCAAATTTGATATTTTTACTTCCAAATAAAGACTATAACTTTTATTCCACAAATCTAAAAACATTGATGTTCAGGTTCCTTTATTCTATACCCGTATGTAAATTAGATTTCACTGAACAGGCTGTTTCTCATACATATAGACAATACAATAGTGATGTGCACAGCATAGCCATTCATCAAAAGTTCTGATATGTGTTTTTGTGTCATCTATGGTCAGGAGAAAAAAAATTAAGTGGGGGTGGGGGGGTCATCTTATATATATACACTCACCGGCCACTTTATTAGGTACCCCATGCTAGTAACGGGTTGGACCCCCTTTTGCCTTCAGAACTGCCTCAATTCTTCGTGGCATAGATTCAACAAGGTGCTGGAAGCATTCCTCAGGGAGTTTGGTCCATATTGACATGATGGCATCACACAGTTGCCGCAGATTTGTCGGCTGCACATCCATGATGCGAATCTCCCGTTCCACCACATCCCAAAGATGCTCTATTGGGTTGAGATCTGGTGACTGTGGAGGCCATTTTAGTACAGTGAACTCATTGTCATGTTCAAGAAACCAATTTGAAATGATTAGAGCTTTGTGACATGGTGGAAGTAGCCATCAGAGGATGGGTACATGGTGGCCATAAAGGGATGGACATGGTCAGAAACAATGCTCAGGTAGGCCGTGGCATTTAAACGATGCCCAATTGGCACTAAGGGGCCTAAAGTGTGCCAGAAAAACATCCCCCACACCATTACACCACCACCACCAGCCTGCACAGTGGTAACAAGGCATGATGGTTCCATGTTCTCATTCTGTTTACGCCAAATTCTGACTCTAACATCTGAATGTCTCAACAGAAATCGAGACTCAACAGACCAGGCAACATTTTTCCAGTCTTCAACTGTTCAATTTTGGTGAGCTCTTGCAAATTGTAGCCTCTTTTTCCTATTTGTAGTGGAGATGAGTGGTACCCGGTGGAGTCTTCTGCTGTTGTAGCCCATCCGCCTCAAGGTTGTGCGTGTTGTGGCTTCACAAATGCTTTGCTGCATACCTCGGTTGTAACGAGTGGTTATTTCAGTCACTGTTGCCCTTCTATCAGCTCGAACCAGTCTGGCCATTCTCCTCTGACCTCTGGCATCAACAAGGCATTTCCGCCCACAGAACTGCCGCTCACTGGATGTTTTTTCTTTTTCGGACCATTCTCTGTAAACCCTAGAGATGGTTGTGCGTGAAAATCCCAGTAGATTAGCAGTTTCTGAAATACTCAGACCAGCCCTTCTGGCACCAACAATCATGCCACGTTCAAAGTCACTCAAATCAACTTTCTTCCCCATACTGATGCTTGGTTTGAACTGCAGGAGATTGTCTTGACCATGTCTACATGCACTGAGTTGCCGCCATGTGATTGGCTGCTTAGAAATTAAGTGTTAACGAGCAGTTGGACAGGTGTACCTAATAAAGTGGCCGGTGAGTGTATATTGTATACAAAATACAAAATATGCAGATCTACAGCAACTAATCTGGATTTACATTCTTCAGTGTGATCTTTGAGGTATGTAAATTGTAACAAATCTGTACCTGCATATAGTTATTTGCCCAACGAGCTCAAATATACACAGAGATATTCTCCAATGCGTACATGTTAAACAACGAATCTACGCATGCAGAATAAGTTGGACGTATTCAAACACATGCGCTTGGACACACACAAAGAACAGCTGTTTTGCTTAACAACTGCTCGTCATGCTCACTTAAACCATGAGGGAGGAGGACACACATCTCCCCCCACTTCCTGCAACACTGACCTTACATAAACACACCACATAAAGTCAGTGTGATATCCAGCACACAACCTTTACTGCGAGATCACAAAAGAAGAATCAATGTTCTTATGTTAGAAGAAACAAGACTGAGACTAGACTGATAGCCTCCCCAGCTGATAATGGATGAAATAAAAGGTTTAACTGAAGATACAGGAAGACAGGAAACAAAAGCCAAGGCCACATTTAGAGGATCTTACTGCTGCAAAAGCGCTAGGATGTGGTTACAATGATGGCAATTCTTGTAATTTTTAGATTCAGAGGCGGGCTAATCAAACAGAAACACATTGCCAATGGAAACTCAGTATGCGTAAGATCCTCTTACTCATATTGGTCTTTTTGCTGGTTGGCTCTCTGTGGTGGAACTAAAACTAAATATCCAAAGAGGGAAACAAAACCTGCAGTTTCAGCCTTCAAACTTAAAGGAAAAGATTAGACATTAACTCCAGCACGCAAAACATACTGAATGGATCATTTTAAAGCAATTCACTTAATATATATACATTACGCAGGCACCTTATTGCAAAGAGTTACTGTTCACCATTGGTGAATACAGTTCAACAGATAAAGATAATTCTGTATTAAAAGTTTTCTGAAAAGTTGTTTTATCACTCCATGAATCAGAAAATGCTGTTGACATTTTCACCATGAAATATGAATAAAATGTTATAAATCAAGGAAATGGTTGTGAAATATGAACAAACAAATATATGAGAGTAATATAACTATAAAGTTTGGTCAAGTGGAGATGTCTGGCTCAGTGCATGAGAAAAAAATCATTTTGAGAAAAAGGCCTTAAAGGGATAGTTCGCCCAAAAATAAAACATTTGTTAAACAGTTGACGATAACCATCGTCTTCAATGGCAGGAAGAAAAATAATGAGAAAGTCAATGGCTACCGTCAACTCTCTGGTTACCAACATTCTTTAAAATATCTTTTGCGTTCAGCAGAAGAAACTCATAGGTTTGGAACAACTTGAAGGTGAGTAAATGACCATTTTCATTTTTGGGTTAACTATCGATAACAAACGAATAGATATATAGTAATAAAGTGTAATAAAATAATCCATTAGTCTGAAGGACTCTCAAAACTGAGCATTACATGCAATAGTTTTGCCTTAAAATATGGAACAATTCATCTAATTGATTTTTTTTTTTTTTTTACAGTTGTAAAACTTTAAATTTCTTCTTTGCTCATACTGAGATTAGTCCCCAAAAACACTTAAACAAACAAAAACATTCGTGCATGAACAGGTCTGACACTATGCCAGGCCGTTAGGGAACGGCCGCCTCCTCCTTTGTGGAATGGCTTTGGAATGCACACGTGTGCAGAAACACGTGCTGGTGCTTGGCTAACCACATTTAAGGTCCCTACAAGACCGGTATATTTGAAACACAAGTGACCCAACCCCCTTTACCAATGAATAACAGCACACAAAGCTAAGAGATAAAGACATGATTCAGCAAAGAGTTAACACCCCAAACTCCAAGTTTATTCAGGAACACATAAACCAGCCTCTCAGTCACACATGACCAATAAAACACACTCAGGAAGATAAAATTGACAAAACACACTTGCGGGAGAGAGAATTGTAACTCAACTGTCAATGGGTTATGGACAATTAGAACTAAATCTCGTCTTAGAACACTTTGGTGAACACGGATGTGGTCATCACTTGCTGACCAGCAGCAAAAGTCAGGATTCTGCCCCTGAGTTAAAGCTGTCAGTCAAAAAAGAAAAAATAAATTTGACAGTGAAACCAATATGTCACCAGGGAGCTATACATACTTCTAACATTTAGGGGGTAAAAATAATTAAAATCATTATTCTGTGATATGAAAATATACATAATTGAGAAATTCAGAACGCGTAAACCAATTTATACAATAAATGGAATATTAATTGGTTCTCCTGCTCTATATCATTGGGCAACTGACCAAATGTGAGAAAGGGGGCAAAATGAACGCATAAAAGCACTTATTCACCACAACAACTTTAAAAAGTGCTCATTAGGAGGGGAAAAAAGCAAGTTAAGAGTAAATAATTGAAATCTGACATGAGTTAGGACAGACCAGTGGGGGAATAAAAATACAGGTTAGTAAATTAAAAAAAAAATTAAAAAAAAAAAAGTGTATGTGTAATAGATGGCAGTGACATGTAGCTGTGTGCTTCAAATGGAAGATGAGGGTGGTGAATAATGGCAGTTTATCAAACCAAACCAGGTGGAGATGCATAGTAACATCTCTGCCTCATTTGAGTTTGCAATACTAAATCAATACCAAACCCTCAGAACAAGTCCCTCTCACAGAGCAAGTCCCAGCAAACACCTAATCAGGACTCTGCAGTCTCATGTGTGAGGGCAGCATTTGAGCAAGTAAAGGCAGCAGAATTATGAGGGATTGTGAGCACATGCGTCTCAAAGTTTTTTGAGACGGCTGTACATGTCTCTCTTGCTGCGTTCTCCAGCCCAAGTGCGGCTCCTAAGACGGAACTTTCTCAGATCTTCTTTATAGTCTTCATGATGCATCGGCCTATAAGCCTGAGGTTCACACACCGACTGCAGAAGGGAAAAGAAAACAAAGCACACATTAGCAGCTTGAAATTAAGAAACAAAAACATATAAATAAAAATGGAAACAACTTCGATATATAGGAAACACAAAGGAAGTGTTGCATTGTGAAATTGCACATACCTTGTGAAGCGGGAAAAAGTCTTTGTAGCCTCCCTTCAGGATATAGAGTTCAGGGTAATGGAGGTTGGGGTACTCCTTCTCATTCAAATCTCGATCTCTTTTTCGAACGTAGCGGCACATCCGTGGGCCGCGTTCAGATGAAAATTCACAGTGGAAAACCAGCAGGACACGCTTCTCTGGGCATTCCGAGAGAATAGGATTCTGCAAAAAGTAGTCTTCAATTTGATCCTCTTGATGGAGGTTAAGAGCACCCTGAAAGGAGGGCAAAGATGAGTCATCAAAATTTGCCCCATACAAATATTACTGCAAGCAACTTGCACCAAAGTTAAATCACAAGCAACAGTCTCACCTTAATATGGCCGCCATCATATTCATACGGATAACGGCAGTCAATGACAAACAGCCTCTCAACCAGATCGCTGTATTGTCCGGTCATTGCTTTAACCATCTGAAAATAAAGAAAAAGATGTTAACAGAGAATGAGATTATGTGAAAGATGCCAATGCACATACTTTGTATTGACAACGACACATTTTGCTGGTCTGTTGATGATCATGCAACTGCTTGTTTTGTATGGACTTGCATTTGAAATGTATATGCTAAATCTAAAACGCTAAAACTTACAATCTCTGGAGTGATGTATTTCAATTCTTGGTGTTTTCCTTCTACCGTGGGTAGCGCAGGAGCCTTCATATAAAAAGTAAGTGAATAGTTAGTAATAATGAAGGACAAAAACACATTGCACATTCCCTAGAACAAGTGACAGGTCTATTAGTTTGCAGTTACACTACAAGACTTAATGCACAGATCTATTTTTAAAGTATCAGATTGTTTTGTCCAGTCTGTTGCTATGGTTATATCACTGTCGGTATTTCATTACAGTTTCATGTTGAAATTGCACTTTTAAATACTGTTACAATTTCAGTGCCGAACAGTGCAAGCATGCAGTGAATGAAAACTCCGGCGGTGTCGAGCAGATTCTGACTTAACTTAAACACCTGATTGGCCATTGCATTCACACACTTAAAGGGATAGTTCACTTTGAAATAAATTTTTGATATGTTTTAGCTTACCTCAAGGGCATCCAAGATGTAGGTGTCTTTGTTTCCACAGTAGTTTCAATTTTTATATTTTTAGGTCAAACCTGTTCTTGTCTGTCAGTCATATAATGCAGGTCTATGGTCACTTCCTCAAAGAGCATGCACAGAGAAGTCAAAATTAAACATGATTTAATGACTCGTAAATGTTAGTACACATTGATGGCCTAAGACACGAAACGAGCGGTTTGTGTGAGAAAACGAACAGTATTTATATCGTTTTTACCTCTTGTAACGCACAGACCGAAGCGCCCGCGCCCTCAGATCACTTGGACGTGGCTGTGGTTACAAGAGGTAAAAACGATATAAATACTGTTCGTTCTCACACAAACCGCTCGTTTCGTGTCTTAGGCCATCAATGTGTACTTACATTTACGAGTCATTAAATCATGTTTAATTTGGACTTCTCTGTGCATGCTCTTTGAGAAAGTTACCATAGACCTGCATTATATGACTGACAGACAAGAACGGTTTGACCTAAAAATATCAAAATGGAAACTACTGCGGAAACAAAAGACACCTACATCTTGGATGCTCTTGAGGTAAGCTAAAACAGATCAAATTAATTTCAAAGTGAACTATCCCTTTAACAGATATGTCTGCGATTGGCTACTATGCTCAACGCTTCAAAAACATGCAATTAGAAAGCTTTGACGCTCTTCACAGAGTGCTTACACACAGAAGCGTTTGAAAGCAGCCACCTATCAGTGGGTACCGAATATACCTGGTACTCCGCACTACTGGTACTGCAAAAATGCTGATATCGCCACATTTTTTTAAATTTGGTACTGAAGTACTGGTACTTTTGACAACCCTAAAAAAAAAAACCTGGCTTACACTCACCTTGGTGAAATCTCCAATCACATTACTAGGATCTGAATCCAACATTCTTTCAATTTGTGAGTGATTAAATGACTTGGATCTTTGAACCTGTAAGGGGAAGGGTCAAAGTTAGGACTCAAATTATGGCTGCTGATGAGTCCATTTGTTTTGAGTTATTTTTTCCAGTGTGGACTGACCTGATGAGGTATAACATCCTCTTGTTCTGCAGGTGCAACTTGTGTCCCTGCCAGGCTCCGCCTCCTCTTCACTCTGACTGGCGTGTTCTCATCTTGAGGCCTCTCGGGTCTCTTCAATGGGAAACGCCCTCCCGGGCTTGGCATAGAGGGAGATCGGAACAGCCCACGTGGACGGCAGCGAATAACAGGCTAAGGGCAATAAAGTGGGTTTGGTTGGTAACTTTCATGTAATAACCATAAAAAGCCAATCAAAGAGAGATAAACAAATGACTGTTTGATAAATGTGTAACATACCGAATCTGTATACTCAGTACTTTGTTTAGCCACCAGAGGAGCTGTGAGAAGACTGTCCATTCCAAGAGGAACCTCGGAGTCATTCTACACAAATAAACGCATTAAGGTTATTCAAAAATCAAAACGAAATTGTAAGAATAAAACAAAAGCAAATAGAAAGTTCACCTCCATATCATCAAGCCCCTCCAAGAAGCCATCATCATCATCATCGTGTAGACAGGAGAGAGAGGGGCGGCGCAATATAAAGGGACTGCTCTCATCTGAAGAGTCAGGTTGAAAGGATGATGTAGGGGAAAGCTGGAAACAGAACAAAGCTTTTAATTGTCACATCAGTATCAAAATGTAACTTAAGAACCACATTCCATCTACGACCTCTTCCAGGGATACATGTCGTACCATTAAAGCAGGAGCAGAGTTGGGTCGGCAGGCAAAAGCATCCTTGGCACCCCCAGTGGACCGCATACGGAAGCGTGACGCAGGCATGGAAGGCTTCTTGAACTCAAAGTGCTCCTGTTAAAAAAAAAAAAAAAATTAAAAAAGATTGTCGTAAGAGAAAATTAAAATCACATTTATTCAAACACCTGCCCCTCTTAATTCCCATGACTTTCCCACACAGTTAAAATGCGTGGGACCTTAAAATACTTTAGTATAGCAAAAAGCAATTTTGAGCATAATTCGATAAATATGCTGCCTGTAAAACTACAAAAAACGGCAAAAACCAACCTCAGCCAGGTTCTCTTTGTTGTCGCAGCCATGTGCACGAGTCCACACTCCATAGCGCGAGGGATCCAATTCTTTACTCTTCAAATTAGGACTGTGACCCAAAAATGGTAGCTACAAAGAGTGGGGGAAAAAAGGATCATATTATTTTAATGAGGGGAAAACAATGTTAAATTCTGAATATACTTACTACAACTGTTCAAAAGTTTGAGGTCAGTGAGGTTTTTTTTTTTTTTTTAAAGAAACTTATTCAGCAAGGATGGGTTACATCGATTAAAAGTGACAGCTTGTTTAATGCCATCTCAGCTTCAATAAAAGAGTTTTGACAGAAAGAACATGTTGGTGGATATTCTAGTATACAAAAAAAATAAAAAAACCTATCCTGGAATGGCCTATTCTGCAATGAGTAGGGGTGTAACGGTACTCAAATCACGGTTCGGTACGTACCTCGGTTTTAATGTCACAGTTCGGTACATTTTCGATACAGCAAAAAGTAAGAAATGCCAGAGAAATTTCCTATTTGTTAAAAGAAAAAATATTTTTTAAATAAGTGTGAGTTTTCCTACATCTTGAAACTTCCAAGTTTATAAATGGGTGTCATCTTTGAAGGATGAACAAATAATGTTTTGGTCATCACATTAAAAATAACATTTAAATATATGAAGAGTTCAGATGCAAAAGCCATTTGAAATTTTCTTCTAGAATGATCATTTTTATCAAGCTTGTATATTTAAGTTCAGTAATTTCACTTAAATGGCAATGAAGATTACCTATTAATTGTCATTTGAGTGAAATTACTGAACTTAAATATACAAGCATCATAAAAATGATCATTCTAGAAGAAAATTTCCAATGGCACTTAGACTTAGAGGCTTTTGCATCTGAACTCTTCATATATTTATTTATATAATATTTGAGTTTTGAAGTGCTGGAAAAAGATGTGTGAAGTACTTGAAAGCCTTTCACTATTCCAGCCAAACTGGTTATTTTTAGTGTTACTATATTAAATCCATGGTGAATGTTGCTGGTCTGTGGACGTAAAGTATTACTAGTTCCTTCACGGCACAATATTTCTCCTGGTGTCCACGTCAGCGCTGTTTGATCTAATAGAGATCTACGGTTAATAACGGAGAAATGTGAATGCTTCTCACTAGATCTCGCAGCGATGTTATTACTTCAGTGGCGAATTCAAATGTTTTCTTTACTGGATCTTAGCGCTGTGTTGTAACAGTGTCGCTTGATCAAGATCGGCGCGCGCTGCACAGATGTTGCTGGTCCGAACTGATAAACGATCCGTGAAGCACATAATGAGTAGCGCAGTTTCGTTCCACTGTCATTACGCTTGCCATTTGATGTTGCGCAACGTTTTGGTGGTCGCGCCAGCGCGAATTCTGTCGGCAAGGAATTGTTCGGTTTATATGCGTACCGAACCGGAAGCCTCGAACCGAAACGGTTCAATACGAATACATGTACCGTTATACCCCTAGCAATGAGTATAAACAATCTGGTCCCATCGATTTGATATAAACTTCCAACATTTCATTTCATAGTATATAGATCCCATTCTGTTTGCCATTTTTCATTAGAGAAATTAATTATTGGTTTTATTTCTATAGGATGTACTGCAATTTTGATGATGCAGAGTCGACTTCCTTGTTTCCTTTGATTCCAGTTAGTGTCCAGGTACCCAAGAAAACCAGATATTAAATTGATGACCCTCTAGTTCAAGCCATTCATTAAAAAAATCATTACAGAAATAGTTACAGGTAAATAAATGCAGCCTTGGTGAGCATACAAGACTTAAATTTAATCTTATCGACCCCAAACTTTTGAGTGGGAGTGTGCAAACAAGTCTAGAGAAGAGAAATAACTAACTAATAAATAACTTACTGGCAAAGAGTGTATCCTGCGAATGGGCATTTTTCTGTACAAACAAAAAGAACATGCGATTAAATTGAAGTACAGCTTTCAAAACAGACATATGCATCCTCCGCTTTGTAGTGAATGACCACTTACTCATTAACCGCTCGTGTGGCATCCTGCATGGCCTTCTCAAACCTGTGATGAAAAAGAAAATGCTGTTGAACGGTTCCTAGTGTATTCAAAGTCTCCTCTCACCCCCAGCCAAACACTAGCCCAGACGACAATTCATCTCATTCATCTCCCATACTAGGCCCCTCACTACTCTATATATAACAAATACACCACGATGCCCACCTGTATGCAAAACAGCCCTAAGCGGAATTGGGGGGGGGGGGGGGGGGGGTTCTTCTAATTTACCATATGCCCACAGACAACACTAACCCCCTCTCCAAATCTCTTTTGTTGGGAGAAAGGAGCTGGGGGAGAGTAAATGGTGGTTTTGAGGGGGAGGAGGTAAGGAGTGTGTCTCTTTCATAGCATAGGAAGAGGGGGGAATTAGAGTTAAAAAGGGGGTTCTCTAGTAACCCTGGCTACCTCACACACACATATTACTGCTCTATTCGGACGCCTGCTCTCACAGAGCATGAAAAGCGTGCCACTATTCACCCAGCCCCCCCTTCAGCAACACGCCATACAACAAACACACTGATGTGTGAGGAACACAAACAGCTGTAGGCCTGGCTGCAGATAAATGGATTCCCAACGACACCAAATGTCTTGGAAAGGAGCAGTCACACACACTGTAGATTACCAGAGAGCCGGGATGTTCACAGATTCAATGCATGCAGGGTATATCCCATATCAGAGATTTTGCAAACATCTGTCAACTTAAAGGATGGTTCACCCAAAAGTATATTTTTGCTTAATACAATTAGTGGTCAACCGATATACATCAAGGCCAACATATTGCCTTTTGCAGAATCAAGATGTTGCAATCTGAAGAATACATTTGACAGATTTGGTTTATCAAAATCAAATTACTAACTACAAATAATCCTTTTTAAAACATTTCTAATTTAGTAAATGTCAAATATAAACTGCACTTCAGCAATTGTTACCCATGTGTTTTTACCATCTTTGAAAAATAAAGGTATACACCTTATATCAGCAATCAGAAACAAAAAAAAAAATTTTTACAAATCTGTTGGTCGACCACTATAAACAATCAAACAGAATGTTAGTCTAAATGACATCTCAGATTCTGTGCCTCAAAGGAAAATCATCCTGGTTTGGAACAACTTAAGCATGAGTAAACATCAAATTCAAGTTTCATTTTTGGGTGAATCATCCCTTTAATAACAGGATGTGCCGTGCTCAGATATCCAGTGATTTGTGATGGATGCCAGCATAATCTTCTAGGTAATCCGCAAAAACAGACACATTGAGCAGATGTAGGGCCATCTAACAGCAAAGAGTAGATTAGATATATAATCCTCAAGCCAAGCATCCTAGCCAAGCTTCATATCACATGTCAGATATGATGACCAACAGGCAGAAGAATTATACTCACTTCTGCTCAGCATCCAGAGAGTCCAAAGGGCTGGGAGAATCTAACCCAAGACCTGAGGAGAAGGGGGAGGAGAGACAGGTGAGTGGGGGATGATGCACAAGTGGTTAATACAGCAGGCCTACACTATAAAGATTACAGCTCACACTCCAAATGGGATGACCTGTCACACACACAGTCCGGCAAATCGCTTTAACATTCCTTTCAACTAACACTTATGTTAGTAGAACTTTATTAGTGAGCAATTATGCCCAACTAGTATACATTCCAATTGGTGCTTGTGCCAATTACAGCTTTCGTTTAATACTAGTACCAATTTATGAGACTAATTTTAACGCAAGAAGTGTTGCTAGTAACAAGTTACTACTGCTTTTTTTTTTTATTCTCATATGTAATGCCTTAATGAATCAATTTAGAAAGTAGCCATTCCAACACACTCATGCCATTCGTAACCATTTTGGGGGACTGGTGGCTAAATGACATCCATACGATTTGTTTATGCAAAACTGATGGATGCGTTTTCCCCCCAATCATGATCCTGTAAGAATCACAGCACATTTTCATACAAAATTGCCACCTCATTAAATTCTCATGAGGTCAGGTTGGATTAGCAATTCTGTCTATTTAACACTGACAACTGCAATCGATACTAGCAACTATTTGAATGGTTACATATCTAAAAAGAATACATAAGAGTATTAGTAAAATGGAAAAAAACAAGACATATTGAACTGCTTAATAATCAAATAAGTGGCAGTAATATGGAACCACTACCCTACCATCTAATTTAAAGTATAGTTCCCTCAAATGAAAATTGTCATAATTTACACACCCTCAAGTTGTTCCAAACCTGTATGAATATATTTCTTCTGCTGAAAAAAAAAAAAAAAAAAAAGATATTTTGAAGAATGTCTGTAACCGAACAGTTGATGGGCCCCATTGACTTCCATAATTTATTTTCCATACTATGAAAGTCAATGGGGTCCATCAACTGTTTGTTTACCAATTCTTCAAAATATCTTCTGTGTTCAGAAGAAAGAAAGAAATTCATACAGGTTTGGATTGGAACAACTTGATGGCGAGTAAATTACAGAATTTTCATTTTTGGGTGAACAACCAATTCATGTTGAGCTGCTTTCTAGTAAACAATAAGTGGTAGTAACAATAGATACTAGCTCGTTTAACATAATAATGGTTAAAATGGCTTGCCATACACACTCTCAGGTGTCACTACTATAAAGTTTATACAATTGCCGGTTTCTCAGACTAACCTGCATCGGAGGAGGCATCAGAGGCGAAGGAAGGGATCTTCAGGAGGGGCAAGGTTCTCTTCCGCTTTGGTGTCTCACATTGCCTGCAACAAAAAGTCAAAGCAAAGGGTTTAGAAAACGGAAATGTAACTTAACTTACTGCATAACGTCTGTTTCAGCACAAAATAAACAAATACACCAGGCCTCGATAACAAGGACAGTACAACGTCAATAAATGCAATCTGCCCTCGGCTCGAACATTTCCAGGAAATACATCTGAAGTTGTTTACTTTTTCGCTAGCAAAAGAAATAGCCCAGACCCACTCACCCTCCAAGAACAGCGAGATTATTCAGGTTTAGAGCCAGGTTAGTCACGGGGGACAGCATTGCCATGGGTCCGGGGGAGGCCAGGTTATTCAGGCAGGGGGAGCCCCTCGCCCCGAGCTCCGGCAAGGAGAACCGGAGAGGTCGGAGGACTGATTCGGGCCCGGTGCTGAACGGATCACATACAGGGCTGATGTCGCCTGGAACACTATCAAAATCCATTTCTGAAGGGACGCGGATCGTCAGATGCTTCTTGAAAATATGATCCAGTCAAGTGCGATCAAGACGACAAAGGGTTAAGCCAAGTTAGCAAACGCTCAGCAACACGGACAGGGGCTTAAATTGATCTTATTTAGGGTTGAAAGAAACAACGTGCAGAACGCTGCATAATAACGACGCCAGATACACAAGACACGGTAAAAAGGGGTGTTAAAAATCCATCTTCTCAGATCTTTGTTGTCAGAGAGCTGTCGATTCGATCGCACTCTCTCTGACCTTTCCAAACTCTGCTGAGGAAGAGAGTGCTGAACGTAGCTCTTATTTATGTTCAAAACATGCAGTCCACAAGCGGCAATCTGAGTAGCCAATGAGCATCGCTGTTACATCTGATTCCTCCAATGAGCTGCGCTTCCTCTTTTTTCCGCATTGTTCTCTGAGAGAACGTAGGTGGTCCAAAGAATGACAGGCAAATGTGATATCCAATGAAAATGAAGGTAACAACAGCACTGCTATAAACTTATCCAATGGCTTTTATGTTTACATAAATAGGGCGGGATAAAGAAATGTAAACCCGTAGAGAAAGGAAAGATTTCCCGCGGAACAGTTCAAGCTGCAGCTTGGCAACGCCCTCCTTTTTAAGAAAGCCAATCATATGTCAACGTCCTGGCGCGGAACGTACCACTCAAATCGCCTGAACAAAGAAGTAATAATGTTTGTATAATACAAAACAAACATTATAAAACGTCTATTTTTGATAAAAAAAATTATGCTGGTAATTCACATACTATTTAACTAGGTAGCTAAAATGGAATTCCTTGCCTTTTCAGCAGCGGTGGGATGTTATCATCCATCTAAAATAATTTGTAATACAATTTTCGAGCTTGCAGTTCACTACGTCATATTAATTAGGAGAAAAGGCTAGTAAAGTAAAAGAAAAAAAGAAAATATGATATATATGAAAATGTAAAAAAAAATTATACGATACTTTCCCTCATAAATGAACATTTTAACCTGGGTTTACCTGTTCCTGGCCTAGTCTATGTCAACAACCTTCGAATTATATATGCCATAGCATAGAGAGGCAGTGAGGTGAGCATTTAAATTAGCCTAGTAAAATGTTAATGACTGAAATTCTCAACTTCTTAGTTTTCACTTCATGAAAAATATAGATAATGACACATTTGGCTAAAGGGCTGACTGAACACGGCAATCTAGTATTGTGAATATTGTGTGTTATTTTTTACCAAAATATGAATTTGACAAGTTCCTTCCTATAAGTATGTTCCTACAGAAATACTGTTAAAAGTTAAGGTAAGGTATACATAAACTAAAGCAAAGTAGGTTTTCGTTGCCAATTCTTTGTTTGTGTATGATGGGGTAAGGGTGGTGACACATTATTTATGCTACAAGTGGCCTCTGTCAGGGTAGAAGACATATTTAATTTCACATGATTTGAGAAATGAGGCTGAGGAAAATGTAAACCCTATGGTGAGATATACAATAAATACAGTCAGCCACCATATAGGCTAGAGATAAAAACATGTTGTCACTTACCATTCAGTCCACACCCAAAATATCCAATATCTCACCTCACACATCCATCGCAAACTAAGCCATGGTCCTCCAGACAGCAGATACAGCGTTATGATTGCTTGAGGAGATTGTTGAGACATGCAGACACTTTCCAACACTAGCCCCTCACTTCAAACAAGGGCTCTTACAATAAAAGTAGGCTACTTCACACAATAGGCAACATTCTCATTTGAATTTAATGCAAACTGTAGAACTGTCGAATGTTTTATTTTTTTAGATCTTTCATGGAAACGATGAACTTTGACAGCCATATTAGAAAGACAAAACAACCTGACTGTTTCTGTTACTCGCGATAACCTCCCAGTCACCCTCCCCTACTTCCCTCCAAATCTAGCACAATGGGACTTTGGGAATAGGTTGGGAAAGCTCATTGATCTTGATTTACATGCATGCCATTTAGTAGTTTCTTTACATTCTTCTGTCATATATATTGAGTCGAGACAGGCAGAATCATTAAGAGAGATGTAATAAAAAGGATTTTAACCAAAGAATTATGAAATGTCTTTCTTATGTAATCACAGTCTCTCATGGTTTTGGTAATTTTAGATACACCAATCAAATGCATTCCTCATGTTGTGTGTTTCTGAATGTTCATTTGCTTCACAAATCTGTAACATGCACTACCGTCAAAAGTTTTTTTGTTTTTTTATCAAGGATAAAATGCAAGGATGCATTAAATAGATCAAAAATTACAGTAAAGAAATGTTACAAAAGATTTATATTTCAAACAAATGCTATTCTTTTGAACTTTATTCATCAAAGATTCCTGATTTTTTTTTTTACCACAGTTTCTGCAAAAATGGACCAAATCAATGGCATGTCACATTGAAGACTGCTGAAAATTCACAGAATAAATTATATTATACAATATATTAAAATAGAAAACAGTTATTTTGAATTGTAATAATATTTCTTGTTTGATCAAACAATTGCAGCCTTGGTGAGCATAGGAGATTTCTTGCAAAAACATTTAAAAAACTGTCGAGGAGTAAAATTGTCAAGTAATTTGGAACTGCAAGCCCTACACAACAGCTTATAAAATTCATTCTTAACATATTCTTAAAGCGATAGTTCACCCAAAAGTGAATCATTTACTCACCCTCAAGTTCTGCCAAACCTGCGTGAATTTCAAATAATATGGAAGTCAATGGGGTCCCATCAACTGTTCAGTTACTGACATTCTTCAAAATATATTCTTTTGGGTCCAGCAGAAGAAAGAAATTCATACAGGTTTGGAAAAAGTTGAGGGTGAGTAAATGATGACAGAATTTTCAATTTTGGGTGAAATATATACAAGTAAGACTCAAGACTTAAAAAGCACTTATTGGCAGACATCATCAGACAATGAGATCATCTTGATTCATTTTACAGACTAAATGTGTGTCTTCATCTACACTAGCTAGTCTGAACATACATGAATAGCATATAAATAGCAATATCTTAGACGGCCCGATCTGAGCCTATTATCGAAAACTCAAAATACCCAATAAATTCATCTTAAACTGCAGCAAACTGGACAAACAGGCTTGTTTTAAAGGATCTCAGAGAACTTGCCCAGACAGTTTTACAAGCTGACGTTTGCTAACAGGTAAACACACCTGCTGTGAGGATTTACAAAAGGACATGTGGGGTTCCTCAGGGCGGGAGAGATCAGCCTCAGTTAAGACACAATTGTACCAGCAGTGATATAATCTGTACATTTGGATTTTTTTTAATTGCCCAAGGGTCTGAGACATACTTGACACACAACTTGATACCATTAGTAAGAAAGAACAATGGGAGCTGCTCAATTAAAGATGTCAAGTAATGTCTTGGAATTGAATTATATAAAAAAGTATTTGCACCTGAAAGGAATGCTGATGATATATTTCTCATAATATTTAAGCACCTAACAGCACTAAGGTCTGAATGAAGGGCTAAACTGGTGGTCCGCAACACAATAGCTTATGAATACATTGTGCATGTGCGTTGACCCATTATAAATGTCTGTTTGCTTTAATGAACTTCCTGGATAAAGAGTAAAGCTGGGGCTCATTCAAAAAAACGAAGACAGTATACTCTATCAACGAATCTCACGGGATAACATAACTATTTTGCGAGGTGGTGATTTCTGATTAATTCGTAAAATGTGAATCGTATGAAAATGTATGTAACCACGAGCTTAGCAGATCATACAAATTCAAGTTAGCCACCAATTCGCCACAACGTAAAATAGTTATGAATCACCATTGCAGTCCCTGATGCACAGCACCCAAATTGTAGTCAGAAACGAGCCTAATGTACACAATCTCTCTGAAACTCCTAAAACGTCAGCTTTTGTCTACGTGCAAGTGATTGTTCACATCCACATGATGTGACAGGTGGTCTGGCCTAAACCCTTCACATTTGAGACTGCCTCAGTGAATGACTGAGTGTGAATATAAGCATTTGCATAGCTCTAATGTGGGGAGTGTATTGCTCTGTCATTAATGTCCTCTGCGGTGAAACTTGCAGCATTACCACCCTGAGTCATCAGGAACAGCCCCAAAGCCCAAATGGTGCAAAGGGTCTTGCATTAACACATGCATGGAGCAAGAACTGAATGCCCTAAATCCCTCACCCGCCTCACCCACACCTTATTTACTGAAGATAGAAGAAATGTGACTGGTACTTAATTGATCTTTGGTAAAGATCTCAAATTCAAAAACCTTTTGAATACATTTAATCAGATGCAATTGGCGAATGAAAAGAGGCAGCTTGTGAAGCATGTGTGTGACCTAATCTGTTCTATTAAACACTGTTTGGTGCTTTTGTAGGTAATTTAGATTGAAAATGAGAGGAAATAAAAACATTTTTTAAATGCATTTCAGTTTATGCAGCAAATATACCCTTTTGAAGAAGAAGTACGCTTTAGCTTTCTTTAAAAGAATATACGTAAGTGTGAACTAAATGTAATGTTTTCGGACACTTCATGTTAACTGCAATTACATGAAAATGTATTATAGTTTAAATTTATATTAAATGCAGCTGGCTGAATTTTAGGGTGTTTTTTGACCCACTTAACTAACTTAAGTTCATCTTCATATGTCGTTTCATAATTACTTCTATTTTCTTTGAAATATGGTTAATGTGTACTGCTGAATGTACTGACAAGCATTTATGGTAAAGTAAAATAATCTTTAAAGTAATTTTATTTAAATGTGTATATCATGCATTTACATATATTTGTAATTACACATTTATGTAATGACAGAGTTGCAATATAGCCTACATTTAAAATGTATTAGCTTTAAATGTAATATTGAACAACACAATACAGTTGAAATCATAATCAAATGTGAACACATTAAAATAAGTGTAGTTCTTTGAAGCACAACAAAGGATTATTAAAACATTATTTAAAATGAAGCCACTGTAGGTAATTATATTAAATGCAAGTACGGTTTCTTAAAAATGTACATTTGAGATTTGAAGTGCACATTCTATACAATTAAGTGCACTTGGGTATCTCAAACATACATTTCTCAGTCCTTCCCAACATGGGAATTCTGACATTTTTTTCTGTACACAGTGACCACTGCTGACCACTGCTTTCAGGTCAGCATGAAAGAGAAAGAGGGAGAAGCGCTGAGACAGAGTAGATGGGGAGAATGAGACAGGCGACAACATCTGTCCCTTGAGTCTCCTGGGAACAGATGGGCCTGCGGGGAAAAAATAACTCAGCCTTAG